TATCTTGCTCAATGATTCCTTTTGATTTTTGCATGAGGTTTGGTAGATCTTTATTGATGATTTCCTTATAAATTTGATGGTCACAGTCAGTCCATTTAGGTTTTGCTATGATAGTTGTTGCTTTTTCCCTTACTGTTTTCAGTTGGCTATTCAGTGTCAGAATAACAGGTACATGGTCCGAGGTATTCTCTGGGTCAGTATCAAGGACATCAATTTGTCTGATTTTATCTATTATTTCCGAGTTACTTTTGAAGAGGAAGTAATCAATTTGTCCTTTCGATTTATCATTCTGGTGATAAGATGTTTCTTTTAATGGACATTTCTCAGTATTTCCTATACATTTTTCCTTGCAGAAAGTTTGTAGAATTTTATCATGAGGTGTAGAGCTTCTATGGAGTGACCCGTTCATGTCTCCACATACTATAATTTCGTGTGTATCTTTATATTTCTCTATCATTTCATCAATTTGAGCCAAAGTGTCTTTGTATTCGATATCTGCATTTTTGTTATCTGATGGCATATATACATTTATAAGACATATTGGTTTGTCTCCTTGTTGAATATGTATGGCTTGTATTCTATTTCCACCGTCTATCAGTTCCTTTATATTTTCATTAATATCTTTTTTCCAGATTATGGCTACTCCACCATATCCTCTTTTCATTGATACGTTGAAATCAGGGTCGTCATTATCATCAACGCTTTTAGTTATTATCCGCTATTTTCAGCAATTTCAGCTATGATTTTCTTTTCCGCATTGAAGAGCCAGTGTTCTTGAATGCATAACACCTGTACATCCCTTAACAAGTTTTTGATATAGAGAGCGTTTGACTTCACATTTTGTACATTGAGTGTACCTATAATGATATCCTCCCTTTTATCTTGTTTGATCGGCCGCTGCCTAAAAAATGATTTGGTTTCTTTCTATTCCCATCTTCTTTTGTTTCTAGATTGTCAGCCTGAACTAGTCCCTTTAGATGCCTAGGACCAACAACATTAGCCCCCCTTTGAGAGGGAAACTTCTGATGGCAGTCCGCTTCCAGCGGGGCGTCCCCACTAGAAGCCGTTGTTATGAGACCAGTTCTGGACGTGACTTCTACTAGATGGTTTACTTCTGTATGCGTTTTATCTTCATCACTTATCGCGGTAGTCAAAGCAGCTGAATTTGTTAGATTGATGTTTTCCATAGATGTTCATTCTAGCTTCTTCTGTTGGTTCTTTGTCTATTTGGTTGATATTATCAGCCTGATTTGTTTGTTGTTGTAGTTGATTTTGTCTTTCAATTTCTTCTGCCTGACTTTGTTTAGCTATTACTGGCATGTTTGTTCTTTGGTCATAGAATCTTTTATTGATGTTTCTTTGACTTTGTTCCTTTCTGTTTGTCTGTTTTTGACTATATCCTTGGTGGTAATTTATATTTTGTGGTATAGGTTGTGGAGCTATCCTATATTGCTGTCTGTATAAATGTGTATTTTGTATCATGTTAGTGGTTAATGGTATCTGGCTATAGTGTGGAGGTGCCAAATGATTCATGAATAGTGGATTGGCTTGATTAGGAATCCTGGATTGCTGATTTGTTAGCTGTACGCCAGTATGCTGATCACTCATTTGGTGTTGGTTTGTGTTCCTAGTATTATCCATATTCTGGTTATAAGGATAATATTCATGACTTCCTGGTCTTTGCCACATTCTTAGTTCTTTCTGTAGTTCCATTATTTGCAATAGTTTGTCATACAATTTGAAAAGTAAAAGAATGAAACTGATGTTTCGTAGATATAAACATAGTAAAAGTCCCATTATCCATTTTACTAGGAAAATAAGTTCGATGCAATTATTTAAAGTATACTTCAGCAGAGCTCCAGATAATTAAGCTGCGTATATTTGCGTGATCACGCAATAAAAATAATTAAAAACCCAATGTAATTGCCCATTGCAGGGTTCAATAACCCAATTAATTCAAAGGAAAACCCAATTATATGCCAAAAACATGGGTTCTTAACGCTTTTATTCGCTATCGTTTGCGTTATTTACCCTTTGATTACAGTCGTCGCGTAAATCTATTTTTATAATATTTATAATTGGAAATGTCCTTTCGTTCTAAAAATAGAGCCCTGCATCAAGTAGTTGTAATGGGTCCCTGTTGGAATTTTCCATTGCTCAAAGGTACAAGTGTTTATGAAAACATTTCGATCTTCTCGGCGTTTATCCAATTAGCGTGTGACATGCTGTCATATTTTTTCGAATTGCTCGGGACTTATCATAACATACAATGAATTAAAACAAAAGTAAATGTCCGGTAAAAAAATTGATTGATTGATTGATTGTTGGTTGCTTTACGCCGCATTAGCACAACAAGGCTATATCGCGGCGAGAGCTAATTCGAATATTTTTTACGTAAAAAAAAAAAAAAAAAAAAAAAAAAAAAAATTGAATAGAAGCATGTTTTCGGCTTCTTTTTGATAGCTGAGGGAAAGTTATGATGATAACAAGACTCAGCTAGTGATTTTAGGAAGCGACCATTGAACGCACGGGCGTGTTTGCGTACCATAACGAGAACATTGCTAGAGCGATAAACACGGGGTTCCGTCAAAAACGAAATCAGTTGGAAAAAGTGAAAGGCCAAATCAATTATGACATGCCTGATATGTAGTTTGAAAGCATCGGAAACCAAAAGTTCTGATGAGGGACAATTTAACCCAGATTTGTGTAAATTGAATTAAACGAAAACAGTTTATATATTATTTTTTTCATTTTAGTTGATGAGTGAATACACATATCCGTTTTTTACGTCAATGCAGCTTGACACTTTCTTTGTTTTGGTCTAATTGTTCTAGATGCTTAAGATAGTTGTCTTATTTGCAAGTGCAGTATTACATTGTCATTTATTTACTTGATGTTGCAGAATTATTTGTAAATTTAAGTTGAATGTGGTGTCCGTCATTATAAACCTCAAGGTTTTGGGGTATATCTTAAATCTGGAAACTACTTTTTATTTTTATTAAAAAGTAGATCTGGCAAATAGGTGAAAGGACTGGCAAAACTTTCTTACAGCACCTAAATTTCACATATATTACACCATGCCAAGAAATTGCCTCCGTTGAAATTTTGCAAACATCCCATAGAGCAAATTACATGGATGATTAATTTTGACCATTTGGTTTATGGCTGTGTTTTAAGTGAGACGTACACGTGGGTCATAAATTAATTTATTGAATGAAATCAAATCTTTAACTTCTAATGGAATCCGTGGGAGGTCGACCGGAATTTTTAGCGAGGATTTCTTGGCATGCCTCATTTAACATATATTTCCTTGATATTTATGACCCACCCTCAATATGTCTTTATGTCTTTTCTGTATAACAACATACTTGTAATCAATCTCATTATAAATCTGGAAATTTTTAAAGTAATAATTTTTTGGTTCATTTCTTGCCATATATTTACACTACTGTAAGTGTTTACAAAGACTTGGATTCCATAAACTAAAGTCAGAGATACATGCACTTAGTCTATTTTTTTATTTTACATCTGGGAAGATTCTTTGGCGATTTTGAAGTTTTTTATTATAAAATTTTAATTTATTTATAAATAGCTAGCTGCTATGGAAATAAACTATAAGTAAATTTGAATTTTTAACATTTTTGAAGTGTGTGGTGTTTTGTGTTTTAGTCAACTTTGTTAAAATCCATATTGTTTTAATTGATGAACTTTACTTCCATCGTACTTTAAAAACTCATAATTCAGGCAAAATGTTGTGTAGCTGTTGCCATGGCAATGCACATTATACAGGGAAAATAATGAATTTTACTCATCTAGCTACCTGTGTTCTCATTATAATTTAGGACCAAAAAAATGAATTTAGTGACATTGTCATGTATCCCCCACTGCATAATGCTTACAAAGATATGTACTTAAATGCTTTTGCCTATAGCATGCATAGTTTACAAGAGTACAATGCAGGTTCTTGGAGCCTCATGGTTTTAGGTTTTAGTATTAGATACAGAACAAAGGTAAAACTGGCCGTTAACAACCGTTGCCGTATACTTTTTCTGCACGAGTAGTCAGGTAAAGTCCGAGGCGATAGCCGAGGACCTTGACCGGACTACAAGTGCAGAAAATAACGGCTGGTTGTTACCATCCAGTTTATTTTGTTACTTTTTTCAGAGACATATATACATGTATATATGTCTCTGCTTTTGTTTTGTATCTGACTTGTACGACGTTTTTAATTAGAAAATTACACAAATTTGAGACGATTGCACCATAATGAAAAAGATTGAACACAAAAAAAAAAAAAAAAAAATGCGTACTGGTTTATGTATCACGATGTTTGGAGATATTTAGTCTTTAATAAATTAGGGATTTTGCGTTAACACTAGCGCTTCTCAATTCTATCAGCTATGTGCGAGTAAAATTTTTGCTTATTCCTTTTATACATATCAGTGAAGTAGGACTAGAAAAGTTGAGAAAAAGGGGGGGGGGGATTTCTCATAGTGGCAAGCAAAAAAAAAGACCTTTACATGTAATCCATGTTTTATATCATAATAGTCTAATAGTCTAGAAATAAGCCAATGTCCTCTTTCGTAGTCACTTAATATTTAAAAAAAAAATGACAAAATGGGAGAGGGGCGTATAGTTTTGTCCCTCACTTTAATTGGTATGGTACCCTACACCCCTGAATTTATATATCCCCTCCACACCAAGATAAAAGCATAAATACGTACAAACAAATTGCAACTGATTTTATGCTTTTTATGGGCTCTGTAATTTGGGAAATAAAAATATTCTATTCTATTCACAGGCACTTGTCTCAGAAAAAAAATTTCCTATATACCTTAATATAACCAGAGACATATAATACATATTATATGTCTCTGATACAACGTTATATTAAGTTATATAGGCGGAAAAATTTATTCTATTCTATTCTTTTAAACTGGAATCCGCTTGTATTACGCTACACTCAAACTATGAACAAAGTGTAGTAGTCAGCCGAGAACCAGCTTACTATTCTTTTCGAGTAGACCCACATATTGATCACGTGACATACATTTTTTTTTCATTTTACGTCCCTGGCAGAGGTTTGTACATGGAAATATTTTATCGTTAAAGTACTCTTGTAGTCAGTAACTTCGTTGACACATTATTTAATTTCAGCATTTTGGTACATAGTTAGCTTTTTATAAATATAATTCTTATGAACACTTTTCATATAAACTGGTTGGGAACAACCCCTCAATGTAATGACTATCCCTTTTATGAGGGGTACATTTCAAGTGATAAAAAAATATTTTTTTGTAAAAACCACTTCTTAGTACAAAAGGGCACATATTTATATTGTTTGAAGAATATTTTCCCAAAGAACTATACATCTATCTGGTATAATATGGTTAAAACATGTCCAAGAATTTTGTAATATTCAATTCAATTCAATTCAAAATTTTATTGGAAAGAGCACAATAGAGGCGTGATCCAAGTACAGACAATAATATATATTCAACAATTACATCTACTATAAATGAAATAAAGATCAATGTAACAACAAATCATAAGTCAATTCTAGATATGGTCTATGGATACCATATAAGGCCAACTAAAATTAATTAGTAGATTTTCATCCAAATTTTTGAAAAAATGGGGCGGGTGGGAGGATTTTTATTTTTATTTCCTCTGAAACCCTTTTGTGACGTGTTTTTCATATGCCAGTCTGATTAAAACCAGCCCCCACTATCAATTTGCCTTTGTAGATAGTGGGGGCTGGTTTCAATCAGACTGTTCATATGCAAGGGTAATATTAAGCTTATAACATGTATATATAAGGAATTCTACATAATTTTTCAAATTCTTAATAAAGATTTCAGATTGGCAACCACTGTTCTACATGTGATTGCGGCTTTAGAAACCAATTTTTAGTAAATAGCAAAAAGGTGGAGAAATGTTCTCTTTTAGACTACCTACATCAAATTTATTTTGCTTTCTAAGTAGTACTTTGTAGTGCCCATTACAAGTATTATGAGTACAGAGTGAAATAAAAACTCAAACCAGTGGCGGATCTAGAATTTTTCACAAGTGGGGGCCCACTGACTGCCTAAGAGGGGGCCCGCTCCAGTCATGCTTCAGTGAATCCCTATATAACCAACCAAATTTTTCCTCAAAAAGGGGGGGCCCCAGGCCCCCCCCTAAATCCACCTCTGCAAACTGTGTTGCAAATACTATAGTTTATGCTTTGAAGGTTCATGTGGACCCTTTGGATAAAATGGCTGCATTTTCACCTCAAAATTTACTCTGAGTACAGATAACCCTGTGTATCTGGAAAAGTTTTAAGATATAGCATTACGTAAGCCGACTTTTTTGTACTCAATATATGGTCTTAGATCGCACAAGTTCGTGCTTGTGTCAATTTCTTTCTCCCAGTCATTTTTTTTATTGCAGCAATGTGTTCCACGATTCTTATGCTTTGGATATCATTCACAGTCCAAATTTCATGACACAAAGTCAGTGTATAAATTAAAAAATCCACAGGTTTCTAATCACTGACCGCGATTTGCGTTCTTGGACACCGACTGTTACTCGTATATTTCATGCCCTTCTCGTAAGCAATCTCTTTTCTTGGAAGATAATGCTGTCATCATAGAGCAGCAGAATATAAACTTAATCATTTTGGTTAAATTACTCGAAGAAATACAAAAACCGAAATTTGCTACAGGAAGTTATTAATGAAATGAAATTATTGGTGGTTTCCTGTAACGGAAATGAACAAAATCCGGAAATCGTAAATTTTTTTAAATAAAAAAAATCGGGGCGGGACGATTTCAAAGGGGCGGGCGGGGATGAAAATCTATCAATTTTAATTGGCCTAACATTCAGAATTCTTCATGATACCATACACATATACATCATGATTATTCTAAGTTTTCATAATTTTACTTAAAAACACAGTCATCTATATATAAGATATATGTGTATATGCACAAGCGGCTATAAAGGATTATTATCCGATGAAACAGTATGCATATGGTGGTCTCTCAAATCAAGAGCTTCTTCAATATACATACAAATTGGTTTTAGTTCTTGTCAGAATTGGGATTTAAAATTTTGATAAAATTTTCATTCGAATTATTTGAATTTATTTCATTGATTTTATATTTAGATCTAATTTTGTTATATTGAGAACATTCAATCAAGAAATGTATCTCATTTTCAATTTGTCCTGTGCAAAATTTACAAAACCTCTCATTAGAGCGTATTATTGGTCTTGCATACCTACCAGTTTCTATTGCTAATGAGTGTGCACTTATTCTTAATTTGGGGACTTTTTTTCTGAGATATTTAGGAACATTATAGTTTAAATATTCTTGTTGTTTAAATTCAGTATAAACTTTACTAACAAATAAAAGTTTGCCACAGTTTCCATCTTTTATTTTAGATAGTTCAAATATAATTTTATTTTTGTAGAAATCTTCTAGTTTCTGTTTGAAATTAATATTACAATGCTTGTTTAAGGATATATTCCAATATATTTTGATAATTCAGATAATTTATTAGACCATGAATTTTCTCTACTTGTTAGGGTTTTGTCCACTTCAAAAGCAGCCTTGAGAATTTCATGTGGACCACCAGACTGTTCACCAATATCACTGAGACGCACATAGTATTTATACATAAGTTGATAACATTTTTAATGCTAATAAGTAATGTAGCCAATTCACACCGAAATGCTAGATTGGAAGACTTTCCATGAACCCTAAGTATGTTTTTAAATATGGAGTTATGTGTTTAAAATTAACTTTTGTCTAAAGCTTCAAAATTTGGTTTGGATTCTGATATCCATACTTCTGATCCATAAGTTAAAATAGGAATTATCATTGAGTTAAAAAGCTGGAGACAAGTTTTAACAGACAAGTTTTCACTGTATGGGAGTTTAGACCAATGCAAAATATGCTTTCTTAGCTTTATCTGAGAGGCTTGACACTGCCTGTATAAATTTTCCAGAGCTATGAAAATCAACTAACTTTATAATAATCAACGATTTCGATTGCATTAGAACTGTAATAAAAGTAGAAATTTTCTTGAATTACTTTTTTTTTTGAGAAAATTATAATTTTTGTTTTTTTAAAGTTCACATCCAGTTTCCATTCAGCACTATATTTTTGCAAAGAATCAAGACAGTTCTGGAGACCAGTTGTAGATTCAGATATCAATAACAAATCATCAGCATACAATAAATGGTTCAATTTTTGATCATGTAAATTAACTGCACTTGTCTAGTTGATTTGGTATCAAAGTATTTTCCTATGTCATCGACAAATATATTAAATAAAGTAGGACTTAAACTGTCTCCTTGTTTGACTCCTTGATTAGCAAGAAAAGGCTTAGTAAACATATTCTGATATTTACATGAATATAACATATTAGAGTACATGTCATAATGCAGTATGTTATAAAATTTGCCTCCGATTCCTTTATCTTTACTTGTAATTTTAAGAATAGAGCTGATCTCCAGACACTGTCAAAAGCCTTTTTAAAATTAGAAATACAAAACACACATATAGTTTCTTTTTGCATTTAAACAAATATTTGTTTATTATTGTTTTTAAAATAAAGACATGATCTACAGTTCTGTAATTTTTTCTAAAACCACCTTGATTTGAACATAATAAATTATTTGTTTCAAGAAAATCACTTAAGTCTTTTTTGTAATGTGGAGGTAAATACTTTATCAAGACAGCTTGTTATGCTTATACCTCTATAATTCCCACAATCAGATGGGTCACCAGATTTATAAATTGATGTCAATAGAGAAATGTTCCAAATTTGGGATATTTTTCTGAATTAAGTATCTTATTAAAAAGTTTTGTCAGAAGTAAAACTAAAGTGTTTGACCCTACCTTTAGAAACTCATTAATTATCAGATTAGGACCTCCAGATTTTCCCTTTTTTAACTTCTTAATGCACTGTCTTTGATTTCTTTACATGTAATAGGGACATTAAGGGATGTATTAGTACAGTTATGGTCTTTGTTCTCTATATTTTGATTAGTATCAGTTTTATCATTTTCACTTGAAGCATTTAGTAAATTTTTATAATGAATCTCCCATTCTTTGGCAGAAATAGCAGGTTCACAGTTATTGTTCTTTTTTTTTGTAATTATTAATGCTACCCCAAAATTCTTTGGTGTTCTTTGGATTTATATTATCATTTATTTGTTTTATCAAGGATTGAAAAAAACCTTTTCTAGTTTATTTTTAAGTTTATTGTACAGTATGATGGATTTTTTAAAATTTGCTTTGAAAGAAACTGATTTTTTTGTGGCTTCTAAATACATTTCATTAGTTTTGGTCAATAAGAAGTCAGTATCATTAAAACTATTATTGTCAATTAGTTTGTTTAAAGATAGAATGTCTTCTACACGATTTTCTTCTAATAAAGGGTCAATATAAATGTCCTTGCTCTGATAGGTCCAATTAAAAGTACCAGGAAGGGACCATAGTTCTTCCTTCTTTATTTCTTTAGGGTGTTTAAAATTAAAAATATTCAATGCTATTAAACAATGATCTGATAGATCAGTAGGTGGTTTTACCATAAAGTTATTGATGGTATAAAATAAATTCTATGATGTCAGCATATAATCAATCTAATTAAAATTAAATCTCCGCACTTGCTCCTCGTTGTTTATATGTCGCGCCACGCGCGACATATAAACAACGAGGAGCAAGTGCGGAGATTTAATTTTAATTAGATTGGCATATAATCTACTGTGCTCTTACCATTACTATTACAAAATGTAAAGTAGCCAAGTGAGTCACCAAGAAATCTTCCGTTTACAATTCTCACTTGAGAGGACTTACAAATATCAACTAGTAGATTCCCATGTAAATTGTTTTTTTGATCTAATTGATTTCTCTCTAAGGGTAAATCAGGTGTATAATCTTCAGGTACTGGACAGTCTGTAAAATTATCATTACCACCATCATTTTGAATAAAGTCATTTAACCCCACCTGTGCGTGCATTAAAATCACCGCTTAAAATCACCTCACCTTAAGATAGAAAAAAAGAAATATCATTTTCCATTTTTGTGAATGTCAATTCAGAAAATCCTTATTATTATATGGTTTAATGTAAGTAAAACATAAAAATATGTCTTTCTCTAAATTGAGGAAATTAAGTTCCATCTATTTTTAACTATATTGAGAATTAAGTTGTTCTGTTTTATTTCAGAAATTACATAGTTTCAGCCAAAAAAAACTATATCATATTTACAAACATTTTCAATAAACAAATCATCCTAAAATTTATCTTCATTTGAACCATGGATATTCCAATAGGCAATATTCATATAGTAAGTCAAAAATCTATTTACAAAGGACACGGGGAAAGGGAAATAACTCCATTATTATTACTTTACAGATCTTTTTTGTTAATATATGCAGGGACATATAAGTCATTGATTTATATGTGTAATGTGTATATTTTCTATTTCATTTATCAAAATAATATATAAATATATAAGTTTCTTTTACTTTAACTTAAAACACAATAATGAGTTTCAAACATGGGACAAGGGAAGTAAATCTAAATTTTTCTGTTTCATGAGATGTGTGCTAATTTTATGTATCATAAAACATTGATAGCAATATGTATGTAATAGTGCTATACTTTTAAAGAGTGTATACTACAATATACATGTAATTAATGACATTTGCAAGCAACATAAATAAAAAATTAAAACATACTATTGTGATTTTTGTACAAAAATAAAAATAACTATAATAAATGCTTATTATTCTAATTGGCCTTAATTAAAGTATATGGCTAAATGTACTAAAACTATATAGCTTTTCAGGTAAATCTATAGCTGAATTATTGTGCAAGTTCAATATTAGTCTACTCACTGAGTCTGCTGAGAAGTAGGTTCATTTCACTTTTTGTTAGCGTTATGATATTGTTGACTACCCGTATAATAGTTATAGGGGTTTTGGTTTTCATTGTACATGTAGTTTTGCCTGTAAGACTGATTGTCATTGTTTTGTCAACCATGGTAGTGGTTTATGTTTTAAGTTTCCGTTTTGTGTTTTACTTGTAGAAATAGAAGTTTTGTACTCATTACAAGCTAGCTAGGTTTAAGTCTAAATACTGGGTTCAAATGTGTTTTTTAAGATTCTGACGAGGCATTTTTTGCCTGATTGATTAAAATAAATGCCATCCTCTTGAAAAATGGATGTGTTAATACCACTTATGTCACTGTTCAAAATGAATTTAACATCTGATTGATTTTCGCAATATTTCTTTATTTCTTCATTGAATTCTTTTGCTTTTTTGTTGAAATGGGGCTGTTTCACACGATCAAATGTTGGTAAAACATGTATGTGGGAACGAGTATGACTGTTTTTTGTGTTTTCTATAAGGTTTTTCATTTCATTTACACATACAGTAATTGTTTAAATACTCAAGTCATTGCTTCCCACACCTAATACAATATGTCTGGTGTCTTTGTTGGTTGTTTAAAGAATAGTCTCCCCTGCACCTTTTATATTCTTCATTCCTGGTCCAAGAACCTTGATTTTGGATTTGTATATTTCTGTACAGTTTTGAGGACAATAGACATGAGAGTCAATAATTATTTCTAGATCTTGAGCATACCTGTATGTTTTTTCTTTAGGAATACTGTTAAAATTATCATCATCTTTCTTTACCTTTTGTTCATCTCTGATTTTTTCATGAACTGTTATCATCATCTTTCTTTACTTTTTGTTCATCTCTGATGTTTTTCACTTATATCTGTCATGTCATCATTTTGTGTTGTAAGCCCTGTAAATCGGTTGTGTGTGCTTATGGTTGCCTTGTATTCAATTTCAGGTAAATGTTATTGATCTCATGAAGTTGTTTTTCAAGATCAGATAGTTTCTTGTTTAAAAACCGATTTTGCTCCTCAAGAGCCTCGTTTTGTGTTCATAGTTTTGAGTTTGACGACTCGACTCGATCCAAATTCGTCAACATTTTCTTAAGTCAGAATTTTCCTTTAATGTGACAGTGTAAGTATAACTTCGTTTCTTTGTAAATTTATTTTTGTCAAAATTGACTTTTCAAAGTCTACAAGTTTCTTGTCAAGGACTGCTGAACTTACAAATTGTTTCTTCATCTGATTAAATGATAACACAAGAAGCTCTTTTTCTAATTTTTGTTGATTTTCTTTCAGGTCATCAAGATTTTGATTTAGTTCTGACATTTTGCTATCATAGTTATTGTTATCTGTAGGGTTGTCATCTTTTAAGCCTGCACAGGTGTTTGACACTTCACATAGTTTACTCTCTAATAGTTGCAATGATGCAAGAATATTTTCAGTAGATTGTTTATTTATCACAGTATCGTGTTCTTGGTGTTACAAATCTAAGGGTTGACATTTTCATAGGTTTTGTCTCACTTTGGTCTAATTGTGTTGTGAAGAAAGTGTATTCTGTGTTTGATGAATCAAGAAGACTATTGTGTTCACCAATTGATTAAAGATATTGGAACTCTGTTTTTGCCCATGATAAATAATGTGTTCCTTGAACTGTTATGAGAAAGGTTGTTGGATATATATTAATTATATATAAATGAAATGTAAGTATATATAGTTTGTTTGAGTCAGTATTTATTTCTGACACCTATGTTGCCCTCTTTAGTATTTTTTTTGTCTGTCCACTTGCATTAGTATAGTTGTCAAGAGCCCCAAATAGGGAATGGTAGCGAAAAGCAAAAGTTTTTATCCAAAGCAGAAACCGATCTTTTGATTCAACTTAGAATGCTACCATACACGCAGCTGGCCTGTACAAATCGTGATAAAGTTTTTCAAAAGGTGCCTTGATAGCAATGCCTGTTGGAGGTTTTGGTTGATCAGGCAACTTATACTTAATAAATTCAGTGTCGGGCATCCAAAGATTGGATTGAGTAACACTCTCAATGGCAATTTTAGGTAGATCGTCAAAAATTAAGATGTCATATTATTGTTAGTTTTTACAATGACTTGACAAGTTTTGGGTCAAAGAATGTAGATAATGGGCAGGATGGAGATAATTGGCTGTTGTGGTGGATGTTATCAATATAAGGAATCTTTATATATTACTTGGAACCATTCCCTTAACTTTTGTCCTTCTATATTTAGGAATTGTTTATCATAGTTTGTCCGGAACCGGAAGTAATATTGATGGACTTAAATGTATATCTTCTTTATTATTAAAAATAAGTGGACCCCTTTTTTAGAAAAGTTGTTCCAAAAATAATGAATTTTTCCACTTTTAAGTTAAAAAAGCTAAGATTTTCTTTTTTCTTTTCTACAACAGCAAAATGACCCCTTGTCTGGGGGACAGTCCTTCATTTAAGGGATATCCCTCATTTGGAGGGTTGTTCCCAACCTGATAAATTATATTCATAAATCAAGGTAATTAGGTCACAAGGTGTACCTTAAGGATAAAGTGATAAAAGATAAAAGTGAAAATGAATGCACCAGTGACTTATTCATAAAAAGAGTCTGTGTATCTTCATACAAAGTGTCCTGTTACACACCCCTGTACTGTTTTTTACTAAGCTATGCTGGGGGCAAAGTTGTACAACTTATATTAAAACTTTTCCCTTTAGGGGAATGTTTTATTATCTGAACAAAATTCTGTTACATAATTTGGTGAAATACCTTTGTCAGGTTAAATTATTTTTGTACACAGCCAGTTACTCAAGTGTGAAGTGAGTAGATGTGAGTGAACAGTTTTATTTCCTGTATGATCATGTGATCAAAAGGTTAGAATTTGACTCCAAATTATAAGTTTGATCTTTAATTCCTTAAATAAAGACATGGATTATTTCCTTAGAATTTTGTTGGTACACTAAAGAGGTTTATGAGGAGTTTAAGGTATTAATTAGTTATAATTATTTGCTTCAATGCGATCTCTTTGGGATTTGAAAGCTTTTAATTCTAGAAAATTACTTTTATAGAATCAAAAAGATTTCACAAAATTTGCATGCATTAAATAAGGTTGGATGTGAAAAAAAATGGTGACTATTACAGTTTCTTCACATTAGTTTATATATTAAACACTCTTCCAAATGTCCGTACATGTCTACAAATTTACAAGTTTTGCAAAAGCAGAGGCTGATTTAAGGGGGTGCCCTTCCCCTTATGGAGCTACATTTATGGGCCCCCCTTTTCAAAATCCTGGATCTGAAAACCTTATATTTATTTATATTTCTAGGGTCATTTGACTTAATGAAAATCCAAATATATTGCAGCGAGTTTGACTTCTCTCATCAGCAAGTAGATTGTTCTAGTCTACCGGTATGTGAAAATTTTTATGACCTGTTTTAATATTAAATGTTTCTTTTCAGTTTTTGGAGTACTATGAACTTACAGTCGTCTAACTTTGTATTCAAATGTATTTAGTATAGCCAGACATTCTTACAACTCCATTATATAGACTTTCAACAATGGTAGACACAGTGTATACAGGTATAATAGTTAAAAAAAAAAAAAAAAACTTTTACAAACCCTGTTTTTTTTACCTCTTGGATACTTGTAGCTAAAAAGATTAATCAGATATAAATTATAACATATCTTTTCAACATAATAATATCTGTCTGTTTCTTTGCTTTAGTTATGAGCTGATATTCAGTATTTACAAATATTTGCCATGTATTATATAATTTATAGCCATCTACATCTACATCCATATGAATCGCAATAGGTCATGGAACAATAACCTTAATCTTACTTAATGATATTTACATGCAAAGAAATGTTTTATGGTTTAAGTTTTACAGAATAATATTAATATTATATATTGGATATGTTGTTATTCTTGTTGAGATAGATATATTAGAAATTGATTGAAATATGACATTGATTAAAGGAGAATTTTTTGTACTAAAGAAAACATAAACAATCCGGGTTACGTACACTTATCAATCCTTTAAATAAACTTATTCTAAAAGGTTACCTATTCAACAGTGTAAATAAATCTTTGAATATTGTTTTTATTGGTGTAAATATTGATTTTGTCATCAATGAATTAAAACCATACTAAATATTACACATGTGTACTTTCACGGTTCTACAATCTGTCAATACCTATAGTTTGGCATTGCACAAGGTTATGTTTTTCTCTGACTATTATTGACGTCTTTACCCTTAATCCATTGGATGTTGGATGTGAACTGATTGATATTTAAGCCTTAGATACATGATTTTTATGCCCATTTATGGGCATAATGTTTTTCGGTCTGTGGGTCTGTTCGTTTGTCCGTTCATTAGTCTTTTCGTTCGTTTGTCTGTCGGTTCGTTCATCTGTCGGTTATTCGTCTGTCGGTTCTTTCGTTCGTCTGTCTGTCCTGCTTCAGGTTAAAGTTTTTAGGTTAAAGTTTTTGGTCAAGGTAGTTTTTGATGAAGTTGAACTTGAAACTTAAGTACACATGTTCCCTATGATATGTTTTTTATTAGTTGTTATTGGCTTTGAACTAGCTGTCAGTAACTGCGAGTACTCGCAGATCTGTACTTTGTGCCTTTTTGCTTTTGGGATGTATAAGTACCCGTTTTTGTTAGATGTATTTCTATTTGTTACTGTAATAATCCATCTGATGGGTAAAGCCTTTTTCAACTGATTTTTATAGTTTGATGTTGTACTGTTACACCTCTGTCCCAGGTTAGGGGGAGTGTTGAACACTTACAAACATGCATGTTTAACCCCGACACATTTCATTCTTTATGTGCCTGTCACAAGTCAGGAGCCTGAAAGTTCAGTGGTTGTCCTTGGTTCATTTTTGTCATATTTGTTTTTATGTAAACTGTTTATAAATTAGGCTGTTAGTTTTCTCAATTGAATTGTTTCATATTTTTAGTGTCTTAGGGCCTTTTAACCAGACCATATGATTTAGGTTTATCTCATTGTTGAAGGCCGTACAGTTGCCAGTATAATGACTTGCATCTACTTCATTTGAACTTTGGTGGACAGTAATGTCTCATCATACCACATCTCCTTATTTTTATATGAATGTCTTAGATTAAATAAACATTTTATAAAGAAGTCTATAAATAAAATAAAGTTTTAAGTTTCCATCCTTTCAAATATTTTATACTTATCTGATATTTTAAAGGAACCGAACAACTGAACAGAGCAGAACAGTATTCAATGACCTTGAAGAGCAAGCAATGTGTACAGTGAAACAGCTATCTTTGTAGTTACCAAAGGGTTACGGCAAAAACCTCATCTGTAATTATATGTGGTGAGTATTTTTTTGTTGGTTAAAAATTATGCAATAGGGTACTATAATTTTTTTTCTTGGAGTCTATTTACCTATTAGGTACTTGGGACAGGAAAATTTATTTTTAACACTCCCCCTTTTTTCCAGAATCTCTTATTTTTTTGTTTTCTATTAATTTCAATTATTTTTGCGTTTTTCTGTTGTATGAACATAAATATACTAAAAATGATTTGTAGTTGCTATTTTCTGTCAATTTCAAGTTTACTATCCACAGCGGTCACTGATATATATTATATAGAGGGAAGGTATCTCACCTCATACCTCATCACCTATTTTCCTACTTGAATTCTTTGAGAGATCCCTAATCTAATTCATAAAATATTAAATTTCCTTCAGGTCAGTGGGCATGACTCTTTTCTTTTATCATTCCTCATATATTTTCATGTATATTGTTGTATATATATTTATTTTTTATATAGGTTTCTTCAAAGAATTGATGGTAAGGTAGCTACGGAACTGTAGCTCTTAGGTCTTTATAATATATCATAAGGACCTAATTAAGAGCTATGGTTCCGCACCTAATAGTAAGATTGGTTGATTTATTTCATTTTATATATTTTCATGTATATTGTTGTATATATATTTATTTTGTATATAGGTTTCTTCAAAGAATTGATGGTAAGGTAGCTGCGGAACCGTAGCTCTTAGGTCTTTATAATATATCATAAGGACCTAATTAAGAACTACAGTTCCACGCCTAATAGTAAGATTGGTTGATTTTTTTTTCATTTTATATATTTTCATGGATATTGTTGTATATATATTTATTTTTTATATAGGTTTCTTCAAAGAATTGATGGTAAGGTAGCTGTGGAACCGTAGCTCTTAAGTCTTTATAATATATCATAAGGACCTGATTAAGAGCTATGGTTCCGCACCTAATAGTAAGATTGGTTGATTTATTTCATGTTATATAATTATAATAATAAGAAATGATTGGTTGATTTATTTCATGTTATATATTTTCATGTGTATATGGTTGTATATATATTTATTAAGTCTCCCAAACGAAGTTTGGGAAGACTTATTGTTTTTGCTCAGTTATTATTATTATTCTTCTTCTTCTTCTTCTTCTTCTTCTTCTTCTTCTTCCTCTTCCGCCGCTTTTAAATTTGAACTTGTCCGCACCCGTTCTCCAAAACCGCTTGTCAGATTTACTTAGGGTTTCACAATATGTTAGACTAACATGTCTAGTGGTGCAATCAGGGTTTTGTTTGTGCAATGGGGTTTATAAAGGGGTACTTTGAGGGGCAAAAAGAAAAGAGGGTTTTACTATAGAACCGTATGGGATTTTATTTTTTTAAATTTTCAAATGATTATAAATTGAAAACCGTTTGTGATAGACACAATCTTTTTAATTGAAAATGTTCTAAATGATAAAGCCCATTAAATGAAATACAGGGTTAGTCCCCAGGGGCCACCCCCACCCCCTGCCATTTAAGAAAGTTCTAATACCTTGTAAGTGGTCAAGATCCCCACCCCTAAACCATATATATTTTGGTTTGTTATGCTAAGATGGTTTGAATAATATACAGGGTTAGTCCCCAGGGGTCATCCCGACCCCCTGCCATTTGAGAAAGTTCTAATATCTTGTAAATGGTCGAGATCCCCACACCTAAACCATATATATTCTGGTTTGTCATGATAAAGCACATCAAATGTAATACAGGGTAAGTTCCCAGGGGTCAGCCCCACCCCCTGCCATTTAAGAAAGTTCTAATATCTTCTAAGTGGTCAAGATCCCCACCCCTAAACCATATATATTCTGGTTTGTCATGCTAAGATGGTTTGAATGATATACAGGGTTAGTCCCCAGGGGTCATCCCGACCCCCTGCCATTTGAGAAAGTTCTAATATCTTGTAAATGGTCGTGATCCCCACCCCTAAACCACATATATTCTGGTTTGTCATGATAAAGCACATCAAATGAAATACAGGGTTAGTCCATAGGGGTCAGCCCCACCCCCTGCCATTTAAGAAAGTTCTAATATCTTCTAAGTGGTCAAGATCCCCACCCCTAAACCATATATATTCTGGTTTGTCATGCGAAGATGGTTTGAATGATATACAGGGTTAGTCCCCAGGGGTCATCCCGACCCCCTGCCATTTGAGAAAGTTCTAATATCTTGTAAATGGTTGAGATCCCCACCCCTAAACCATATATATTCCTATTTGTCATGTCTTGAACATTTGAATGACGTATACGGTCAGTCCCCAGGGGTTCCCCCCACCCCCAATTTTCTAATATCTTGTAAATGGTTGAGATCCCCACCCCTAAACCATATATATTCCTGTTCGTCATGTAATGAACATTTGAATGACGTATAGGGTCAGTCCCCAGGGGTTCCTCTCCACCCCCAATGTTCTAGTATTTTGTAAATGGTCGAGATCCCCACCCCTAAACCATATATATTCTGGTTTGTCATGCCAAGATGATTTGAATGATATACAAGGTTAGTCCCCAGGCATCACTAATGCATATAACTTTACTGGACCAAACCAATTTTCACTGGATGTTGCCCAATGTCAGGCGACCCTGGGAATTACGAATTATGGGAGCTTCGTTTGGGAGACTTCGTAACAGCATCCTGTTACAATCATTTCTTGTTTTTTTTATATAGGTTTCTCCAAAGAATTGATGGTAAGGTAGCTGCGGAACAGTAGCTCTTAGGTCTTTATAATATATCATAAGGACCTAATTAAGAGCTACGGTTCCGCACCTAATAGTAAGATTGGTTGATTTTTTTCATTTTATATATTTTCATGGATATTGTTGTATATATATTTATTTTTTATATAGGTTTCTTCAAAGAATTGATGGTAAGGTAGCTGCGGAACAGTAGCTCTTAGGTCTTTATAATATATCATAAGGACCTAATTAAGAGCTATGGTTCCACACCTAATAGTAAGATTGGTTGATTTATTTCATTTTATATATTTTCATGTGTATATGGTTGTAGGTATATTTATTTTTTAAATAGGTTTCTTCAAAGAATTGATGGTACGGTAACTGCGGAACGGTAGCTCATAGGTCTTTATAATATATCATAAGGACCTAATTAAGAGCTATGGTTCCGCACCTAATTGTAAGATTGGTTGATTATTTTCATTTTATATATTTTCATGGATATTGTTGTATATATATTTATTTTTTATATAGGTTTCTTCAAAGAATTAATGGTAAGGTAGCTATGGAACCGTAGCTCTTAAGTCTTTATAATATATCATAAGGACCTAATTAAGAGCTATGGTTCCGCACCTAAAAGTAAGATTGGTTGATTTATTTCATTTTATATATTATCATGTGTATATGGTTGTATATATATTTATTTTTTATATAGGTTTCTTCAAAGAATTGATGGTAAGGTAGCTGCGGAACCATAGCTCTTAGGTCTTTATAATATATCATAAGGACCTAATTAAGAGCTAAGGTTCCGCACCTAATAGTAAGATTAGTTGATTTATTTCATTTTATATATTTTCATGTATATTGTTGTATATATATTTATTTTTTATATAGATTTCTTCAAAGAATTGATGGTAAGGTAGCTGTGGAACAGTAGCTCTTAAGTCTTTATAATATATCATAAGGACCTAATTAAGAGCTATGGTTCTGCACCTAATAGTAAGATTGGTTGATTTATTTCATTATGTATATTGTTGTATATATATTTATTTTTATATAGGTTTCTTCAAAAAATTGATGGTAAGGTAGCTGCAGAACTGTAGCTCTTAGGTCTTTATGATATATCATAAGGACCTAATTAAGAGCTATGGTTCTGCACCTAATAGTAAGATTGGTGGATTTATTTCATTTTATATATTTTCATGGATATTGTTGCCTATATATTTATTTTTTATATAGGTTTCTTCAAAGAATTAATGGTAAGGTAGCTGTGGAACCGTAGCTCTTAGGTCTTTATAATATATCATAAGGACCTAATTAAGAGCTATGGTTCTGCACCTAATAGTAAGATTGGTTGATTTATTTCATTTTATATATTTTCATGTATATTGTTGTATATATATTTATTTTTTATATAGGTTTCTTCAAAGAATTGATGGTAAGGTAACTGTGGAACCGTAGCTCTTAGGTCTTTTCAATATATCATAAGGACCTAATTAAGAGCTACGGTTCTGCACCTAATAGTAAGATTGGTTGATTATTTTCATTTTATATATTTTCATGGATATTGTTGTATATATATTTATTTTTTATATAGGTTTCTTCAAAGAATTGATGGTAAGGTAGCTGTGGAACCGTAGCTCTAAGTCTTTTATATATATTATTAGGACCTAATTAAGAGCTATGGTTCCGCACCTAATAGTAAGATTAGTTGATTTATTTTTTATATAGGTTTCTTCAAAGAATTGATGGTAAGGTAACTGCAGAACCATAGCGCTTAGGTCTTTATAATATATCATAAGGACCTAATTAAGAGCTATGGATCCGCACCTAATTAAGATTGGTTGATTTATTTCATTTTTTATATTTTCATGTGTATATGGTTGTATATATATTTATTTTTTAAATAGGTTTCTTCAAAGAATTGATGGTAAGGTAACTGCGGAACTGTAGCTCTTAAGTCTTTATAATATATCATAAGGACCTAATTAAGAGCTATGGTTCCGCACCTAATAGTAAGATTGGTTGATTATTTTTTTATTTTATATATTTTCATGGATATTGTTGTATATATATTTATTTTTTATATAGGTTTCTTCAAAGAATTGATGGTAAGGTAGCTGTGGAACTGTAGCTCTTAAGTCTTTATAATATATCATAAGGACCTAATTAAGAGCTATGGTTCCGCACCTAATAGTAAGATTGGTTGATTTATTTCATTTTATACATTTTCATGTGTATATGGTTGTATATATATTTATTTTTTATATAGGTTTCTTAAAAGAATTGATGGTAAGATAGCTGCGGAACCGTAGCTTTTAAGTCTTTATAATATACCATAAGGACCTAATTAAGAGCTATGGTTCCGCCTTAATAGTAAGATTAGTTGATTTATTTCATTTTATATATTTTCATGTATATTGTTGTATATAAATTTATTTTTTCTATAGGTTTCTTCAAAGAATTGATGGTAAGGTAGCTGTGGAACCGTAGCTCTTGAGTCTTTATAATATATCATAAGGACCTAATTAAGAGCTATGGTTCCGCACCTAATAGTGAGATTGGTTGATTTATTTCATTTTATATATTTTCATGTATATTGTTGTATATATATTTATTTTTTATATAGGTTTCTTCAGAGAATTGATGGTAAGGTAGCTGCAGAACCGTAGCGCTTAGGTCTTTATGATATATCATAAGGACCTAATTAAGAGCTATGGTTCTGCACCTAATAGTAAGATTGGTTGATTTATTTCATTTTATATATTTTCATGTATATTGTTGTATGTAAATTTATTTTTTATATAGGTTTCTTCAAAAAATTGATGGTAAGGTAACTGCAGAACCATAGCGCTTAGGTCTTTATAATATATCATAAGGACCTAATTAAGAGCTATGGATCCGCACCTAATAGTAAGATTGGTTGATTATTTTCATTTTATATATTTAAGTCTCCCAAACGAAGTTTGGGAAGACTGATTGTTTTTGCTCAGTTATTATTATTATTATTCTTCTTCTTCTTGTTCTTGTTCTTCTTCTTCTTCTTCCTCTTCCGCCGCTTTTAAATTTGAACTTGTCCGCACCCGTTCTCCAAAACCGCTTGTCAGATTAACTTAGGGTTTCACAATATGTTAGACTAACATGTCTAGTGGTGCAATCAGGGTTTTGTTTTTGCAATGGGGTTTATAAAGGTGTACTTTGAGGGGCAAAAAGAAAGGAGGGTTTTACTATAGAACCCTATGGGATTTTATTTTTTAAAATTTTCAAATGATTATTAATTGAAAACCGTTTGTGATAGACACAATCTTTTTAATTAAAAATGTTCTAAATGATAAAGCACATTAAATGAACTACAGGGTAAGTCCCCAGGGGTCATCCCGACCCCCTGCCATTTGAGAAAGTTCTAATATCTTGTAAATGGTCAAGATCCCCACCCCTAAACCATATATATTCTGTTTTGTCATGATAAAGCACATCAAATAAAATACAGGGTTAATCCCCAGGGGTCACCCCCACCCCCTGCCATTGAAGATAGTTCTAATATCTTGTAAGTGGTCGAGATCCCCACCCCTAAACCATATATATTCTGGTTTGTCATGCTAAGATGGTTTGAATGATATACAGGGTTAGTCCCCAGGGGTCATCCCGACCCCCTGCCATTTGAGAAAGTTCTAATATCTTGTAAATGGTCGAGATCCCCACCCCTAAACCATGTATATTCTGGTTTGTCATGATAAAGCACATCAAATGAAATACAGGGTTAGTCCCCAGAGGTCACTCCACCCCCTGCCATTTAAGAAAGTTCTAATATCTTGTAAGTGGTCAAGATCCCCACCCCTAAACCATATATATTCTGGTTTGTCATGCGAAGATGGTTTGAATGTTATACAGGGTTAGTCCCCAGGGGTCACCCCCACCCCTGCTATTTAAGAGAGTTCTAATATCTTGTAAATGGTCAAGATCCCCACCCCTAAACCATATATATTCTGGTATGTCATACCAAGATGGTTTGAATGATATACAGGGTTAGTCCCCAGGGGTCATCCCTACCCCCTGCCATTTGAGAAAGTTCTAATATCTTGTAAATGGTCGAGATCCCCACCCCTAAACCATATATATTCCTGTTCGTCATGTCTCAAACATTTGAATGACGTAAAGGGTCAGTCCCCAGGGGTTCCCCCCACCCCCAATGTTCTAGTATCTTGTAAATGGTTGAGATCCCCACCCCTCAACCATATATATTCTGGTTTGTCATGCCAAGATGATTTGAATGATATACAGGGTTAGTCCCCAGGCATCACTAAAACATATAACTTTACTGGACCAAACCAATTTTCACTGGACTTTGTCCAATGTAAGGCGACCCTAGGAATTACGAATTATGGGAGCTTCGTTTGGGAGACTTCGTAACAGCATCCTGTTACAATCATTTCTTGTTTCATGGATATTGTTGTATATATATTTATTTTTTATATAGGTTTCTTCAAAGAATTGATGGTAAGGTAGCTGCGGAACAGTAGCTCTTAGGTCTTTATAATATATCATAAGGACCTAATTAAGAGCTATGGTTCCGCACCTAATAGTAAGATTGGTGTATTTATTTCATTTTATATATTTTCATGTGTATATGGTTGTATGTATATTTATTTTTTAAATAGGTTTCTTCAAAGAATTGATGGTACGGTAACTGCGGAACGGTAGCTCTTAGGTCTTTATAATATATGATAAGGACCTAATTAAGAGCTATGGTTCAGCACCTAATTGTAAGATTGGTTGATTATTTTCATTTTGTATATTTTCGTGGATATTGTTGTATATATATTTATTTTTTATATAGGTTTCTTCAAAGAATTAATGGTAAGGTAGCTGTGGAACCGTAGCTCTTAAGTCTTTATAATATATCATAAGGACCTAATTAAGAGCTATGGTTCTGCACCTAATAGTAAGATTGGTTGATTTATTTCATTTTATATATTTTCATGTGTATATGGTTGTATATATATTTATTTTTTATATAGGTTTCTTCAAAGAATTGATGGTAAGGTAGCTGCGGAATCGTAGCTCTTAGGTCATTATAATATATCATAAGGACCTAATTAAGAGCTAAGGTTCCGCACCTAATAGTAAGATTAGTTGATTTATTTCATTTTATATATTTTCATGTATATTGTTGTATATATATTTATTTTTTATACAGATTTCTTCAAAGAATTGATGGTAAGGTAGCTGTGGAACCGTAGCTCTTAAGTCTTTATAATATATCATAAGGACCTAATTAAGAGCTATGGTTCCGCACCTAATAGTAAGATTGGTTGATTTATTTCATTATGTATATTGTTGTATATATATTTATTTTTTATATAGGTTTCTTCAAAGAATTGATGGTAAGGTAGCTGCAGAACCGTAGCTCTTAGGTCTTTATGATATATCATAAGGACCTAATTAAGAGCTATGGTTCTGCACCTAATAGTAAGATTGGTGGATTTGATTGGTTGATTTATTTCATTTTATATATTTTCATGTATATTGTTGTATATATATTTATTTTTTATATAGGTTTCTTCACAGAATTGATGGTAAGGTAGCTGCAGAACCATAGCTCTTAGGTCTTTATAATATATCATAAGGACCTAATTAAGAGCTATGGTTCTGCACCTAATAGTAAGATTGGTTGATTTATTTCATTTTATATATTTTCATGTATATTGTTGTATATATATTTATTTTTTATATAGGTTTCTTCAAAGAACTGATGGTAAGGTAGCTGTGGAACCGTAGCTCTTAGGTCTTTTATAATATATCATAAGGACCTAATTAAGAGCTATGGTTCCACACCTAATAGTAAGATTGGTTGATTTATTTCATTTTATATATATTCATGTATATATGGTTGTATATATATTTATTTTTTATATAGGTTTTTTCATAGAATTGATGGTAAGGAAGCTGCGGAACCGTAGCTCTTAGGTTTTTATAATATATCATAAGGACCTAATTAAGAGCTATGGTTCCGCACCTAATAGTAAGATTGGTTGATTTATTTCATTTTATATATTTTCATGTATATTGTTGTATATATATTTATTTTATTTATATAGGTTTCTTCACAGAATTGATGGTAAGGTAGCTGCAGAACCATAGCTCTTAGGTCTTTATAATATATCATAAGGACCTAATTAAGAGCTATGGTTCTGCACCTAATAGTAAGATTGGTTGATTTATTTCATTTTATATATTTTCATGTATATTGTTGTATATATATTTATTTTTTATATAGGTTTCTTCAAAGAACTGATGGTAAGGTAGCTGTGGAACCGTAGCTCTTAGGTCTTTATAATATATCATAAGGACCTAATTAAGAGCTATGGTTCCGCACCTAATAGTAAGATTGGTTGATTTATTTCATTTTATATATTTTCATGTATATATGGTTGTATATTTATTTATTTTTTATATAGGTTTTTTCATAGAATTGATGGTAAGGAAGCTGCGGAACCGTAGCTCTTAGGTCTTTATAATATATCATAAGGACCTAATTAAGAGCTATGGTTCCGCACCTAATAATAAGATTGGTTGATTTATTTCATTTTATATATTTTCATGTATATTGTTGTATATATATTTATTTTTTATATAGGTTTCTTCACAGAATTGATGGTAAGGTAGCTGCAGAACCATAGCTCTTAGGTCTTTATAATTTATCATAAGGACCTAATTAAGAGCTATGGTTCTGCACCTAATAGTAAGATTGGTTGATTTATTTCATTTTATATATTTTCATGTATATTGTTGTATATATATTTATTTTTTATATAGGTTTCTTCAAAGAACTGATGGTAAGGTAGCTGTGGAACCGTAGCTCTTAGGTCTTTATAATATATCATAAGGACCTAATTAAGAGCTATGGTTCCGCACCTAATAGTAAGATTGGTTGATTTATTTCATTTTATATATTTTCATGTATATATGGTTGTATATTTATTTATTTTTTATATAGGTTTTTTCATAGAATTGATGGTAAGGAAGCTGCGGAACCGTAGCTCTTAGGTCTTTATAATATATCATAAGGACCTAATTAAGAGCTATGGTTCCGCACCTAATAATAAGATTGGTTGATTTATTTCATTTTATATATTTTCATGTATATTGTTGTATATATATTTATTTTTTATATAGGTTTCTTCACAGAATTGATGGTAAGGTAGCTGCAGAACCATAGCTCTTAGGTCTTTATAATTTATCATAAGGACCTAATTAAGAGCTATGGTTCTGCACCTAATAGTAAGATTGGTTGATTTATTTCATTTTATATATTTTCATGTATATTGTTGTATATATATTTATTTTTTATATAGGTTTCTTCAAAGAACTGATGGTAAGGTAGCTGTGGAACCGTAGCTCTTAGGTCTTTATAATATATCATAAGGACCTAATTAAGAGCTATGGTTCCGCACCTAATAGTAAGATTGGTTGATTTATTTCATTTTATATATTTTCATGTATATATGGTTGTATATTTATTTATTTTTTATATAGGTTTTTTCATAGAATTGATGGTAAGGAAGCTGCGGAACCGTAGCTCTTAGGTCTTTATAATATATCATAAGGACCTAATTAAGAGCTATGGTTCCGCACCTAATAATAAGATTGGTTGATTTATTTCATTTTATATATTTTCATGTATATTGTTGTATATATATTTATTTTTTATATAGGTTTCTTCACAGAATTGATGGTAAGGTAGCTGCAGAACCATAGCTCTTAGGTCTTTATAATTTATCATAAGGACCTAATTAAGAGCTATGGTTCTGCACCTAATAGTAAGATTGGTTGATTTATTTCATTTTATATATTTTCATGTATATTGTTGTATATATATTTATTTTTTATATAGGTTTCTTCAAAGAACTAATGGTAAGGTAGCTGCAGAACTGTAGCCCTTAAGTCTCTTTGATATTTTTGACTATGTTCAATAAAATAAATTTGTAATAAAATCTATGTTCCGCAAAATAAATTTGACCCCTGTTTTATATAACACGGTAGTTTCTCACTTTCCATTTTGGTCAGATTCTTTTAATCATATGCATTTGCTTTGCAAATGAATGTTTTTCATTGGATAATTTAACAGTTTTTCCCATTTTATTATATTTTATGATAAATTAGAGTTCAAACTTGTGTATCGTTACTTTTGTTGACTAGTATATTTATATTTCATTTCAGAGTTCACTCACAGATGTTTAATTTGTAATTTTGGATTTTTGCAGATTCAGCTTAGAAAGGATGTTTCAGTTGTCGACCTTGAATATGGCTAACAGACCAGGAAGAGTGGCATATAGATTTCCGTAACTCTATACTCTATAATACCTTCTATATTTTATTTTTATCACAGATGAAGCTAAATCTACTGTAAGCTTTTAAGAGAGTCTGCTTTGATAGAAGTGACAACAATTTTTCAAACATCACTAATCTTTATTATTTGTTTCCATTACAGAGTTCTTACGGAGATATATAGGTTACAATACTGTATTTATTATTTCTGATGGTCTTTATATGTCCTATGTGTGTAATTGTTTGTTTTAAAGAAATAAAATATGGTATTGACTATTGATTTTAATGGGATAAAACAAACAGAAGAAATCAACTTAAATACCTTTATAAAGTATCAACACCATTTTAAGAAAGTTTTGCAAATACTAATGGTATGATATTATACACCATTACATGAAAATTGGCCAGTTGAATTCTTATCAGGATAATTAAAACAAAAAAAATTAAAAGATAACTGTATTAGACATTATAAATGTTTTTCTCACAGTAGCCAATTGTGAATGGTGAGAACATATTTTCCAAGTTAGAAAACTGAAAACTAAAAATTGTGAAAACATCTACCCGACCGAGAATTATTTTACCAGTTTAATATTTAAAGAAACAAGTTGTACCAAGTATATTAACAAGATTTTCTAAAAAAATAGCAAGAGTAAATCCTGAGATTGGAATAGAGCTTCCAAGATTTGATAATTCAATGGGAGATAACTCTGTAAAATATGCAGATTTTAATGCAGTTGATATTCAAATCATTATTCTTTGACTTCCTTTTAGTTTTCCATCTTTATATATTAATTTTACAAACTTAGGTGTTGATGTTATACTATTGTGAACATGTAGTAAGAAATCAAAACAATATTTAGTAAATGTTTATGTTGACAGAAATGGATTTATAAAATATATAATAATGTATCCATTTTAATTCCTTTTTAGGTAACCTTTCTGTGACATGATTTTCATGGTGTTGGATTATAAAACTTTGGGGTCTAATACATCTAAAAGGAAGGTAAGTACCAGAATGTTATTCCAGTTTTGAAGAGAAAAAATTAAACCAAATGTATTATAAAATTTCAATCTAATTAAAATTAAATCTCCGCACTTGCTCCTCGTTGTTTATATGTCGCGCGTGGGAGATCTAACAACAGCCGCTTGAGGGTCATGTCTAGGGTCAAATTTGCTGTAGCCAATCAGCGAAGGTGCTACAAAGTGTTAGGGTATTGGACTGGCATAGGAGTCTTAGTAGCGTATAGAGGTCTTCCGAATGTATATAAACAAAAATGGCAGCCCCCATGCGAAAAACGTTTCGTAACATACATTTTGTACAACTGTAATAATAGTTTGTATTATTGCCTTCCGAGGTTAAAATGGCATCAAGTGAAGTATGCACCCCAAGGAAAATATCAGTATGAACAAACATTTGTGTTTTATGCGGTTTTTCTTTCATCGAGATAGAAATCTCCTCAACGGGAGAACTGAAACTTCAGCAGAACTCAGAGAGAATCGCAATAATTTCTAGTGTTGTTACTGGTTTTGAAGTAAACGCCGTAGTAGACAATGACAATGGCGTCTGTATTAAATGTTTTAGAAAAGTCCAACAGTCAATCAAATTAAAGAAAGATGCATTAAAAATTCAAGAAGAACTAAGTGACTAACTTCGGGTGTCTTACCACCTGACCAATCAGAAAGATTAATTGCTAATAGATTTGTTAATCTGCAAGGTGGAACAAACAATAATATAAGCTTAGATGAATACTTGAGAGATGTTGAACAAGGATACAAAAGTAACATGTTCAGGACATCAGACAAAGGAAAGTATCCTTCCACACTCTAAAGAGTATCCTCACCTAGTTAATTTTGCAAGCCATTTTGATAACATTTCCAATTTAACAGGAAAGAAGGGGTTCCACCATATACGGTCATACCAAGCTGATGTTCAGAAAATTGCAAAAGACCTACTACAAGAAAATGTACTACATGTACAATGTAACATATAAAACTTCAAGAATAATAACAATTAAGTGCAAGGAGCTAAAAAAAGACAAAAACCCATTTGACAGTGCATTTATAGGACTTCGTACATTGATTCATCGCCGTGACATCAACCAACAGTCCCCTTCCATCGCCTTCAAATCCACATATTTGAAAAATATTGCTTGGAATTAAATTATTGTGAATAAAGTGTGCAGGATTAATTTTCTCTTAAGTCATAACCTTAATTAGCTGGTACTTTTTTAGTTTGTTGCTGATATTAAAGTGTCATAAGTCAATGAGACATCAACCCAACAAACAAAGTAATGAAATACTTTCAGTTTAGTTGCAGAATATCATGGTCATTTTGATTAGGCAGCATAACTACCTACAAAAACATGTTTATATAAATGTGGCATGATTTCTAATGAGACAACTATTCAAAAGGGACCAACTTATTTTTCTGTATTAAAGTTCACAGTTCCACCTCTGACTTTGAGTAAAACCTATAGCAAGCTGTACAAAGACCCGAAATGACCTTATGAAAACATCAAGCACGTATGTACAAAACAACAATGAGATAAAAACCAAACTTTTACAGATTTGTTCACAAGGCGACCAGCATGCAGATATTTACCCTATATGTACATGTAAAGAGCTGTTGATAAAACTTATACAAGGTGGTGTTGGTTAAATGTGCTTTCCTGAGTGATGAAGTTATTAGTGTACATTATTTGGTTCAATTTCTATCTTAGTCAAATTAAACACAGTAACTTAATATAATAAAATGCTCTGCTGGGCCCAGCTTGATACGACTGCAGAGGCCGAACCCTGAACAGTTGGGGCAAGTATGGACACAACAGTCAAGCTTGATACAGCACTGAATTTGGATTGTGATTAAATATTTGACACAGCATAGGTTTCTGACACAGAATAAATGTGGTCTAAGAACTTATAAATTTTTAATTTACCTATTCAAACACAAGTTATTGACTGGAAACTAGAAAAATGCTTGTTTTTTTGCCCCTTTTTGGTTCAAAATTCCTAAACATTTAGGGAAATTATCTCCAAACTCAAACCTAGCTTTCCCTTTGTGATATGGAACCTTGTAGTACAATTTCAGAAAGATCCATACACTTACACACAAGTTATTGTCATGAAACTAGAAAAATGCTTGTTTTTTGGCCCTTAATTACTAAAATTTTGAGGCAATTACCCCCAAAATCAATCCCAGCCTTCCCCTTTGTGATATGGAACCTTGTGGTACAATGTCAGAGAGATCCATACAATAACACACAAGTAATGTCTGGAAGTTACAAAAATGCTTATTTTTGGCCCCTAATTCCTGAACTGTTGGTACCATAACCCCCAAAATCAATCCCCACCTTACTTTTGTGGTATTGAACCTTATGGTAAAATTTCATGGAGATCCATTTACTTAAACTAAAGTAAGAGTGCGAAAACCAATGTGTCTTCGGACGACGACGCCAACGTCATACCAATATACGACCGCAAAATTATTTTGTGGTCGTATAAAAAAGAAGATGTGGTATTAAGTCTATATTTGACTGTTTTCTTGATGAACACATTGGTCTTGAACAAAGTTGTAAGTAAGATATAGTCCCACTTCATGTTATTGTCTTGAATATGCATGAAATATTTGCCACTGAAACCCAAGTGAAGAAATCAATAATCAATCAACCTATCAATGTTCATTTTGAGCAAAAATAATCATCCTCTATGTATACTGTTGGTTACACCAAGTTAAATACAATGAGTTTGCTATATAGAACAAATATAACATCATCAAGAACAATGAACAAAAAGGTCAAAGTCATACATGTCATATGAACCATGCCAAAACTTAGCACAAAAGGACATACATCAATAGCAATAATTCTATACACCAAAGATAGTTGACTTGTTGATCAATAAACCATGAAAAGTCAAGGTCAGAAACCAACCAGAATGATTTTTATAATTCGTTCCTGTTTTGTACTGTTACACCACTGTCCCAGGTTAGGATCCTGCTAACATGTTTAACCCCGCCACATTCTGTATGTATGTGCCTGTCCTAAATCAGGAGCCTTAGGTAATTCAGTGGTTGTTGTTTGTTTTTGTGTTACATATTTGTTTTTCGTTCATTTTTTGTACATAAATTAGGCCGTTAGTTTTCGTTTGAATTGTTTTACATTTGTCATTTCAGGGCCTTTTATAGCTGACTATGCGGTATCGGCTTTGCTCATTGTTGAAGGCCGTACAGTGACCTATAGTTACTTTCTGTGTCATTTGGTCTCTTGTGGAGAGTTGTCTAATCATGCTCATTGGCTATCATTCCACATCTTCTTTTTTATATAACATGTACATCTTACAATAATTCCACACCAAATATATTTTTCTGTTTGTTTATCATGTTTATAGTAATCGAGATGCAGACTTGACCCCGAATATATGCTTGTTTCATGAAATGAGGTCAAGATTAGGCGAATCTGCAACCATATCTGACAGACATGGCAGACATGGTTTTCTCTTTTGAATTTTTTCATATTTTTCTGGTCTGGGCCTTTTGTAGCCGACTAAAGGCATGGGTTTTTCTCGTTGTACTACAATTGCTTATATCAAGTTATTGGAAAGTCTGGAGGGTAGTTGTCTGATTGGCAATCATACCGCATCTCTTTATTTTTAAGATGAAAACTAGTAAATATCTTATGATGTGTGTCATTCAGTTACTGTCTCATTTGTTTTTATACGCTACATCTCTGTTTAGTCACATTGACAGCTGCAGGCATGACATGAACCCAGATCTAGAGTGGCAATACAGCAATTGTAAGGGGGTTAAAAGTCAAAACAATTTGAAGAGTCTAAAGTTTAAAGAAACCAGATACTGAAAAATTAAATAAATAAATATCAACTGTTTTAATCATGTTGTATTTCTAATAAAGCCATATCAAGATCTTCGAAGTATTCATAGGCCGACAAATTGTAGTCTTCAGTATCGCTATCTGATACAGCAGAATCTTCTTGCTCCTCGAGCTCCTTAACAACTTGTTCTGACAGAAATAACTTCTCAAGAGGTAACATATCACAGGATTCACAATTACAAGACTTAGCACACAAGTCACAGCATGAATGTTTCCTGCTTTCTTTCTTCATCAAATCATCCAAGTCTGAATTTCTGAGGAAATTAAACATCAGATCCTTTCTCCTACAATCTTTAGCTTTAAGAATTGCCTTAACTTCCGGTTTCAACTTCTGCAAGTGGTATCCATTGTATAGGATAATGGCAACTGATGGATTTCCATCCCTCCCCACTCGCACTATTTCTTGTAGCAAATCTACCAGATTATTTGGAGGTCCAAATAATACCACTCCACTACACTTTTTTACATCTAAACCCATTCCCAGGGCACTGGTTGACAAAATAAGTCTCAAAACACTACTTTCCTCCTTCAATGCATTAATAATAATGTTTTTGTTAACATCTGGAGTTTCAGAATGGAACATCTCAATATACTGTTACAATGTATTTATAAAGTTTGGAAGTGTCATTTATCGATGAACAATACAAAAGTGTACGTGGGAAGTCCTGTCTTTTTTCCCCTTATGCATCTACTAACCATGTCATTCCCATTTCAATTTAATTTTTAATTTTGGAAGATACTAGTTTAATATTAGACTTGTTTGGTGATAAATTAATTTCTGTTGTGTCCTCCGCTAGCTGCAATATTTTCATGACTTTTTTCCTAAAGCTTACAGTGCAAGTTGCACTCAAAGCCAATACTGTAGCATCGGGAAAGAGGGATCTTAGTTCAACTACATTTGAAAACCATTTTCGGAAAGCCTCTTTTCTGTCTCCTTCATCTTGGCCCCTGAAAGAAAAATAGAAATGAGTACATCTATAAAAACTTTTATTAAAGGTAAATATCAGCACCTCTTGCCTAGTTTGTTAATTCTTATGGCAAAACAAAAATAAATACATGTATGTGCATGTCCATATTGTTATGTAACAGCCTACCATTCAGTGGTTGTTGTTGGTTGCT